TCTGCTTTACTTGTCTTAGCTGGTATGGTTTGGCCGGTTTTGGACACTGTTGAGCTGAAGGCCAACTTGGACTGCATGAATGACCAACTAGACCACCCTAAAGGCCCCGATATACTTCAAACGGAATAGAAGAACAAACTGATATGACGTAATTTATAACAAAATCAGGCTGAAACGAAGTTCGTTTTGAGTTCGTTTCGGCAGTTTGAAACAGCTCACCAAAGCGAACTTTCTGGGGGAGTTCGGTTTGGCTCCTAAACACCTTTGAGCTTCCATTGGTTCGTGGTGGTTACGCAATCGGTGGGTGTGTTCTGAAACCCCACCTTCTTTGACGTGCGATTTTTCCCCCCGGTTCGTTTCTCATTCAACGGAGGTCAGGCAGGAGAACAACATCTCCTAGTCACTAGCAACATGAACACACTGGAGTGTCGAATAGCTGAGCTGGCACAAATATATCCACACCTGTACGATCGCTCGCGGAGAGACTTTAAAGATTCAGAGAAGGCATTTAATTTCTAGAAAGAAATTGCAACGAAGCTTGGTGTCGAAGACCCGGAGTTATGCAAAAAGTGACGTAGAGAATCATTCCAGACAAGTTTTCCAAAGCCATGAAAAGAATGAAAGGAAAGAGTAAAGATATAAGGTAGCAAGTACCAAATACATGTGTTTCAAATAAATGTTACACCATACTGCTGCTGCTGTTGTTCTTTCAATAAGCGAATTTAAAGGGTATACAATAAATTAAATGCCAAACGAACATACAATAATAAACCTTTGTTTTTATCAAAAGTAAATCATGACACCACATAAAATATAAAAATATGTACTAATTTATCCAGTTTAATAAAATAAATGAACACTAATAAAATAAAGTAACAAACTGACTCCAATATTTTTTTCCACATCATGCTAAAGTTTTCAGACTATGAGCCATCACACTTCCTATAAAGGACTGATTATGGAAATGGAATGGTTCTTTTGCATTGCAAACATGATACTTGACTCTGAACTGCTGCCAATCATTATTCTTTTGTCTATAATATTCTGACCATTGGTGCCTGTCTCACACCTAGATTGCCTACACTTCATCGTTGTTGTGTTTAGGGCATACGTGCGAGTAGCGTGACACACATTTAATCTAAACCCCACCTCCAGCAGTGCGGGGGTGTCGGAATGTTCGGAAACAGTATACCGTCGCTCAGCCTTTTCAAACTTCTTTTTGCCCACAAACGAAGAACGAAAACAAACTTCGTTTGAAGTATATCAGGCCCTTAAGCCAGCAAAGACCAGAAAACTAGCTTAGGTTTTACATGATTTCTACCAGGGACAATGTCTACAACTAATGTGGCTACTGTACACTCTTAAAATAAAGGTGCTTCAAAAGGTTCTTCAAGCGATGCCATAGAAGAACCATTTTTAGTTCCACAAAGAACCATTCAGTCAAAGGTTCTTTAAAGAACCATCTCTTTATTACCTTTTTATAATCTCAAGAACCTTTTTTCACCACAAAGAACCTTTTGTGAAACAGAAAGGTTCTTCAGATGTTGAAGGTTCTTTATGGAACCATTTAGACAAAAAGGTTCTTCTATGGCATCGTGAAGCACCTTTATTTTTAAGAGTGTACAAGTTTTCTCTGATTTCCTTGTTCTAAATATAATAAACTTACATTTACATCCAATTATATGTTAAATTGCCTTTGTGCAAAATTGACTTTCTGATATTTTCAAATAAGGACAAACCCATAAGTAATGCAAGTTTTGCGTTTGCTGCACTGGGGAAAACGCACACATTAAACAGCACACACATCTGAAGAGCCACAATAAACCATGTGCTTATGCGATTGTCTGAAGCACTTAATATAAAGCATCATCATGTTTTAGGTAGCTTGGTTCTTGCACCTTTCCTGCAGCAGATCACAGCTTTTGATTTCATTTATAGCAAGAAATTAGTATAGTATTAAGTAAATATTGATGCTGATCATTCGACTGATATGGTGCCTCAGAAGCCTGTCCGAAATCAGTTTAATGATGTACCATTGTGCTCAAACCCTGGCTGTGAAGTCGTTGCCCGTTTGGGCAGAGAAGAAACAAGTCAGCTGCTATAATGAGACTGGCAGAATTACACAATGATGCTTCAGTCATAAAGTGTACGATAAAATGTAAGTAGCTAAATTACTAAACATTTAATATTTGACAGCTGTTTAACTATAGAAATGTTAAACGACCGACATCAATCAGGGATTGGGAACTAATAAAGATTGTCTAATTTTGCTATTTTGAACTGAAACATTACATTTCTGTAAAAATTCATGTAATTAAATTCAATTAATTCGTCAATGTAATTTGTCAATGTGACATGATAAGAAATATTAACAGTTATTTTTAGCACAATAGGCATAAGATTAATAATGAATGTGAACATATTGTTGATGAATTTAATAAACGCCATCAGTAATTCACTTGTGTAAGAAAACCTGTTTTATAAAGTAAAGAGCACTATCAACATTTTTAAGACATAATTCTGGTGTCTCGTTTGCAGTAACTGCAAGTACAGTATTGTAACTAAATAAATTGTTACAATTTGTCAAACATTCATTGTCAAACAGCCACAGCCAGATTAAGAAAATGTCTATTGGCTCTGATTGCGTCATAGATATTTTGGCAGCGCATGGTCCCAAATTGCAACTACATCAGACTCATCAATTTTAATTCCAGTACACTTAAGCGACAAGACATAAAACTGTCTTTTTGGAGAAGCTAGGCCCAATTCATCAACCCTCGAGTGTGTACACAGGAGGGGGGTGTTGAAAAGCAAACTCTTTGGCTGTGGGTAGGAGAAGCCCCCTCAGCTCTCCAAACAAAACAGCTGTTTATCTTGGCAGTGCTAGTCACGGTCCACTGGGCATGACTTTCTGCCCGCTCCCGGCCACTGTTTTTAGGTTGAAGTGGGCAGCGCCAGGGTAAACACATGAGCTCAGCCCTCGCTGGGACCTTGGTGGGTCTCTGCTAGGCTACCAGAACCCACAAGCCAGGGTAAACAGCAGCTACTCAACTAATAACAAGGGAATCCCACTGGTCGGAGAGCGAGCTGGCGAGAAACAGTGCTAGTGGGCTAGCGAGCCTGTCATCAAACGCTAAACACCTAACTACGAGCAAAACATTATGGCTGGCAAAAACAGACCAAAGTCAGATGGTGAGCATGAAGGAGAGAGAGAGTGACTTGTCATCGTGCTATGAGACAGAACATCTCTGCTTTCTGCTCTGCGTCTCTGTCTCTGACACGGTAAAAAACAAACAAAAAAAAACACGAGTGAGACTGTCTCAGTCTCAGAGCGATTACAGTTGCAATCATTTCAAATAAACAGTCGTGCTTCCAAATAAGTGCGTTTTTTTTTTCTGTGGCTCTAAAGAAAATATCACCGAAGACTACCACTAATCAAATGTGAAGTAAATGGTGCCACAAAGTCTTATTCAAACCAGTTATAAAGTTGCGCATGACTTCTGAGCGTCTACACACAGGAGCCCAATGAATTAAACCTCACGCTGTAATTTAGCTAAGAGAAAAAGGTGGGTCTGGACACACAGAATTATAGCATTTAGATAAATAATTTCTCCCCTTAAGTTCCACTTTAGAGAACCACAAACCAGAGGAGGCCGATATGGAGAAGCACATCAGGACTAATATTAAAACCACACTTTCCTTCTCATAACCCAGTAATATACAGCGAAGTCATGACAGCGCTATATTTTTTTGCGATATAAAACGGAAAAGAGAAAAAAAGCCTGGGGTCGTGACTCCTGGTGGTTATTTTGGAAACTGTATTCTCCTACTAGATTTAAGAGGTTGGAAACATTTTACAGTCCTACTAATGCACTTGTCATTGCTTATCTATGAAGTAAAACAAACGATGTGTTCAAGGAGAAGCGAGTAACTCCAAACCTGCAACTTTTGTCCAACAAAAGCCATTAGACGGGATGTCTTCTTGTAATAAGTAACATAAGTAGCTAGTCTTTTGGACGGTGATGGAGTGGCAGAACTTCTGGTGCAGCTAATGATGGGATGGAGCATTATTTTAACTCGATCAGCGGAGGATCAGGTGGATTTTGGGCTGCCGCACCATCCGGCCTAGTTATCTGAGGGTAGAAGTTGCTTCCAACTCAAGGGTCAAGTTTTGGCTGTTTAACATGGCCCACTTAGCTAATCTAACCACTCCATTCTGGGGGCAAAAATAAAATTTATTTAGACCTTTTATAGTATATTTATATAGAATCAGCTCAGGATAGTCAGTAGTCAAAAGCTTTTCAGTATATCAAAATCCTGAAAATGTTTGTTAGTCTCACTAATAAGGAAGTTGAGATGGAAAAATTTGCATCAAGACGATAATTAACCTTTTAATTAAAACAACTGTTGATGAAAATATAGTGGAAAATAATATTGCATTAGATTACAAATGCTTGTTTGTTACCAAATAATACATATAATTTTTGCACTTTCTTGTCAACTAAAAAAGAAAAGAAAAATAAATCTAGAACTAAGTGCATATGAGCAAAGATCCATATTTTCCTCACTCAGATGATCGCCGTTCAGGCTCTAGGGGTTGAATGTAAAATTTCCACTACATTACTCTCCATAATTATGTCACTTTCTTTGTATCTACTGTTTTTTTGCCCTTGATTATTCTCCGAGAATAGTTCCCTTCTGACTCAATTACACACAGCACCCTGACTACAGTGTAAAACTATGATTAAAGTAATCATCTATTGAATTTAGCTCACAAAGAATACATGCGCACACAAAAGCAGACACAATGTGGGTGGCCATAAGGATGCATCATTCGTGCCATCTCCATCATAAAAGGGCAAGGCATATATTGTTCACTACAATGCTTGCACTCTATTCATATTGTTAATATATTATAATTTCTGCTCTCTGCAACTGCTGAGGCAAATGTTAGTGCGAAAGCAATTAGTCAAGCCTTACTGAACAAATTTGTCCCTTGCCTTGTCCCCTGACTGCTGCTTGTAGTGCTACCTGCAAATAAGAAGAACATACAAGAAACATGTTAATAATAAGAAAAGAATCTGACTAACATGTTTTCCCGAAATTTTTCCAGTAGATAGGAACTACTGACTCTTACAAAAATATCACTGTGTCAGTATTTGACTCATGTTGTACAGTCACTGCTGTTTGGGGTTTGAGAATGTACACTAAGCCCGTTTCCACAGAGAGAAAAAAAGGATAATTGTGACATAAGTGTGTATAAAGAACACTGAGGTATAAAATTACAGTTGTGACATTTAAAGTCACATTGTGAGTTATAAAGTCATATTGTTTGACAAAGTCACAGTTATGAGAAATTAAGTTGCAATTTGCAAGATATACTATTACATTGTAATAAATAAAGCCCCATTGTTGATTTAAAGTCGTATGGTTTCACATAAAGTAGCAAATATGACAAATTAAGTCATAATTTGAAATAATAAATACACATTGCGAAATATGAAGTCACATTTTGAGATATAAAGTTGCAATTATGAGAAATAAAGTAGCAATAAACTGTTTTCAACTCTGAGTCTGAAATGGGATTGTATATTTAGCAGAAACCGAAAGAAAGTTCATGACTTTCTCCAATCTTATGGAAACTTACTGTTAAGAAATTGTGCATTAAGAATATGCATCAATCATGTAACACATACATAATACATTGTGATTTGGCTGGTGTCAGTTTGACGCCAAAAAGACACAACGTTACGGTTTTGGATAACAGTCATATTTGTAAAAATGTACATTTGTATATTGTGATGATGTAATAATAATAATGTTGTAAAGATATGCTTTAATAATATGGGTCTACTGGGTTTTGAATTAAAACTAGAAAAAAAAGGAAACTGGTTGGAAGTTGGTAGGAACACCAACTTTCATTGTGTATTCAATGAAACAGGAAGTGTCAAGGGAAATTAAGTAACTTCCGTAATAACGTCACAAAATGTGGTTCCACCAAAGCACAACACCACCACTCCAGCTCCTTTAGAGTGCCAAATCTAATCCATCACCTGTTTTTATATCTTAAATGCATTAAAAAAAACTGCACACCCTCTTTATTGACTCCTAGGCATCCTTTGAGTTCTTGAAGGGAGATGGTCTTGTCCTTGTTAAGGTCGCAGTAGTCGGTGAACTTGCGGGCGCATCGTTTAGGTTTGGCTTTCTTCTTCACATAGCGCTTGAAGGGCTTCATCTCCTTCTTGTTGATATTGTGACTGTCGTTATTATCCAGCTGGGCAAAGTACCAATGAACCACCCGTTCCTCCAGTGTGTGGCTTGGGTCAGGCTCAACAAACCTGGAGCAGAAACAATCCCAGTTGGAGGGGTATACTGTATAGTACTTTCAAAGCATATTTTCCATTTAAGATTTTTTGTTGCTGCTTGATTAATTTGAAAGAGAGAGAAGACAGATAGCAAATGGCTAGGAGAAGAGATACAGATTCTTCTCCTAGAGATATAGACAGTACTATACTTGGGCAGTTTCAAATTTATTTTATGAAATATTAAATATCATGAATGAATGAATAAAATGAAAATTAAATTTTCATAGAATTATATTGTGTTCAGACTCAGAACTCATAGGATCCTTGGCCACATATAGGCACTAGAATATCAGAGAGACATGGGAAGTTGTGTGGGGGGGTCAAGCCTAATTCATCATTGTGCTGGGACATTTTGTATAAAAAAAGTTTGAGTAATGTATTATGTATATAATCTAGTTAATCAATGCTGGTCCTATTAAGACTAGACTTGTCTTTGGCTCATGTCTTGAAAGAATGACAGCGTTTTAATGCAATATTTAAATAATAATAATACAAAATAATAACATTTAAAAAATAAGGTCACAATGTTCTGAGAAAAATCTCAAAATGAAAATTCCATCGATTTCTAAGCACTTAAAAAGCTACTCCTCAATCAAGCCATTTCTCAGAATATTGTTTCTTATAATATTTATTCTAATAACATTACAATTTTCTTAAAATTATACACATTTATAAAACATAATTTTTGCTGTTAGACGACAAATTTGTAAATAATACATTAGTTTATTAAACTCTTACCTCCCACCACCAGAGGGGGTTGGTGAGTTGATAGCCTGCACCATGTCAGTAGTAAGGGCATCCAACAGGCTGGTTATGAATTCCACTTTCTTTCCCTCTGGACATCCTGTAACATTTAAAGAAAGTCTGGTATAACCACAAGCATTCCCATTTAGGCTTGCAGAAGAGATATTTCAACATTAAAATATTCTCAGACCAACTTGTTTTCAACTATGCTCACAGTTAGCGAGGGAAGTATTAAGCCGTCCCAATGAAAAACAACATAACGCAATATGGTTGTATTTCTAATATAAGTCACATTTGATCTCGGTCTTAACATGTTAGCAGTTCAAATACCCATGCATAATCAACATAATATGCAGAGCAAAAGATGTTAGCATTTCCAAATGCTTGAGTGCACGTGTGAAATGTAAAGTAGCAAATAAGGTAGAGCGACAAGGTGACGAGGGCACTTTCACAGACCACCGCAGCCCTGTTAACTTTTATGACACATTGCTGAACACCTTGGGTAGCACATTTTTAACTGTCCCAGATGCTTGACTGCAACGGTGTGCTCGACTTGGGTCAATGTTTCGGCCTTAATTGTGTCTCTTAAAGAGCAACTTAAAACAGGAGTATGCAATAAAATCATCTCAGTTTACATTTTCACTTTGGTTCATTTTCCCAAGCCGTACCTTCTACCTCAGTTCCACTAACTTTCTTGATTTTGCTGGCTCAAGGCAGTATGGGAGGTGGGGCCCTGTGGCTCACCAGGTGACTCCAATTAGTATCTGTATGGTTTGGACAAGTGTGATGATGTACCGGCTCAGTGCTTCTCAGCCCAAGTGTTAAGTCAGAACATATGGAATCAGACTCATCTTGACAAACTTCCCATACTGTTTTCGGCACATGTAGACTTCATAAAGACAGCTTGTTGGAAGCCCTGATGTAGATTAGCCCTGAGTTTGTTTGTTTGCACTAGCATGATGCTACAAGGTAGGTCTTGTAATGGAATTTGGCCTGTGGAAATGGTTGTACATCTATCCAAAAGTAATTTTTTCTCCATTCCCGTGTTGAAAGGATGAAACCAAGATTCTTTGTTTTGGTGCCAGGTAGCACTCAAGTAGAGTACATAAAAATAATTTCACTGAAGTCCCCCGGGCATTGACAGCACCTCTCGGCCCCCTGCTGCTGTCCTCCCCAGTGGTCCACACCGTCGTAAACTACACCACACATCTGTTGCCCAGTCAGGAGCCATGTTTTACTCTGTAAACTTACCAGATGGGGAATTAAAAAGGAGTTACAATGAAATTCTAAATGAAAGGGAAAGAAGCGAGAAACCTAGGAACGAACTGGAATGAGCAAAAGCCTAATATTTCAAGGGAAAACAACCTTTAAATGCTAACATGTGGTGCTGCATGTTCTTGTACTTGATCCTGTAACCATTTGTCAAACATTATTAGCATGCATACAAGGAACGTTTTGGACTTTTTGTAAGCAAAATAATCAAGTGGAATTTGGCCTGTGGAAATGGTTGTACATCTATCCAAAAGTAATTTTTTCTCCATTCCCGTGTTGAAAGGATGAAACCAAGATTCTTTGTTTTGGTGCCAGGTAGCACTCAAGTAGAGTACATAAAAATAATTTCACTGAAGTCCCCCGGGCACTGACAGCACCTCTCGGCCCCCTGCTGCTGTCCTCCCCAGTGGTCCACACCGTCGTAAACTACACCACACATCTGTTGCCCAGTCAGGAGCCATGTTTTACTCTGTAAACTTACCAGATGGGGAATTAAAAAGGAGTTACAATGAAATTCTAAATGAAAGGGAAAGAAGCGAGAAACCTAGGAACGAACTGGAATGAGCAAAAGCCTAATATTTCAAGGGAAAACAACCTTTAAATGCTAACATGTGGTGCTGCATGTTCTTGTACTTGATCCTGTAACCATTTGTCAAACATTATTAGCATGCATACAAGGAACGTTTTGGACTTTTTGTAAGCAAAATAATCAAGAAAATGAAAACATTCAATAAAACACCTATTTAAGTCCAGAGAAACATATTAGCAATATCATTCATTATTGCACATACAACAAAATAATCAATAGGCTTTAGCTAGATCACAGAAATGAATCACAATTTGCTACTTGCTAGTCAGTTTCAGGGAGAAGGATATTCTCATTCTAAATAGCATTTAAAATGAACAAAAATCTGTATTTTTGGTCTATGGTCCTGGAAAAGGAATATGAAATAGTGAAAAAGTTAGCCAACTAGATGTAGTTTACAAATGACCTCAAAGCTAGCCTATAGTTAATAAAGCTAATAAATGACTGGTACGCTGTATTAACTAGCAATTGGAAAAGGAATCAAAATATTTTAGAAACAATATGGTATTCTCATTCTAAATAGCATTTAAAATGAACAAAAATCTGTATTTTTGGTCTATGGTCTTGGAAAAGGAATATGAAATATGAAATAGTGAAAAAGTTAGCCAACTAGATGTAGTTTACAAATGACCTCAAAGCTAGCCTATAGTTAATAAAGCTAATAAATGACTGGTATGCTGTATTAACTAGCAATTGGAAAAGGAATCAAAATATTTTAGAAACAATATGTATATAAACAGAAGAATGAGTGACAAACTACTGTAATTGGACAGTTAGTCCACTGATACATTATACACTATGGACTTAAACTATGCTTTATATACTGTACTGTATCATATTTAGATGGCTAGTTTGTCATCCAGCATCGAGTCTGATTATTAAATCTACGTTATTAAAGCTATTAAGTTCATTAAGTGAACTTAGGGCGTGTCCGAATCCACTTTTGCTAGTTTAACGACGGAAAAAAAAACGTCGCATGGCCCAAAAGGTTTGTACCTATTCTCTTAATGAGCCATGGGTGTGTTTTGGGCATAACGTACAATAAACCAATCGGAGTCTCATCTCCCATTCCCTTTAAAAGCCAGTTGTGATGCACCATGTTGGATTATTTACATAAGCATCGGCACGCCAGGCGCATGGCCCAAAAGGTTTGTACCTATTCTCTTAATGAGCCATGGGTGTGTTTTGGGCATAACGTACAATAAACCAATCAGAGTCTCATCTCCCATTCCCTTTAAAAGCCAGTTGTGATGCACCATGTTGGATTATTTACATAAGCATCTACTGAATAGCATCTATATCATTTCCTGAACCAATCTCCAGAGAGGAAACGGATCTGCTCGTGTGCGAGGTTAAAGCGTACACAATAATAATCTTTTACATTGTAATCCTTTCATTTTTAATATCTGGCATGTGTCTACTGCTGTGCGTCCCTGTGTGTATAATAAGCAGAGTGTGTACGCTATGCGCATTTTGCACCTGTAGTGCATAATACGAACATGCCCATAAAATAAATACTGCATCATTGACTTTAGACCTGGTTTTAGTTGGCAGATTCAGTGGCAGAATCGTTTTCAGTTGCACCTGAATGCACCTGAACACACCTCGTTTTCAGACCAGCACGCCCATGGGCAAACAGATGGGTGCAAGTGCATTTGCTATTTAAACAACATGGCGCTGGACATGAAAATGATAACTGCGTCTTGAGCCGCGCTTAGCGCTGCATTGCGCTGGGTGCATGATAGGGCCCTTTGATTTTTTTCGGTTAAATGAGTGCATCATCTGGGTATTGAAGTACACTTCTTGTTGGAATTTTCGATGTGAACTTGTGTTGACTTACACAGTTTATACTTCCAATTGGTGTAGAATAGTGTGCAGGTATGCAAATTGGGACACAACATATCAAGTGTTCGACTCACCCGTCAGATCTCTGTCTCTAAAAGGATCTTCCATTTCTGAGTCTCGAGAACGAGCCGCACTGTCACATTCTGGTTTCTTATACCTGATGGAGAACACAAACACGAGGCACTTAGTTACAACGTTTATAAAATTATCCACTTTTTTTTTCAATACAAAGCCATATCTGGATGCCAGAATATCACACAGACTTTGGACTCTTATGGATTCTTCTGACTTGAGTCCATAGGCAACCAACAAGGCACAACCTCTTATAAAATGCTTAGAAATGTGCTTACAACCACTAAGAACACCATGGTGACCCCATTGTATCAACGTTTTGGACACCAAAGAAGTTGACTTGGAAACCAAATCTTCATGAACAAGCACATTTTCTTCATTATTTGTGAGTAGAGATTGCAGAGCCTGGCATTCACTGTAACAAGTCCTCAAAAAAACAAAACAAAGAGAATGCAGCCATACAAGTCCTGTCTCGGTTAACACAGCTATCCAAACAAATGAAGAAATGACAAACTCCAAGTATTCGATTTCATTGTTTGATTAGATTTGGTTCACTGGTTTTTATTACACAAAATTGCACTCAAAACTGAGTGAGACAGACATAAGAATGCATGACACTGCAGCCTCACACAAGAACACCCCAAAAAAGTCTCGGATTTAACGGAAATGACCAGAACATCTATCCAAAAGATCAAGCTGTCTCAGCATGGTACAGAGGCAGCGTGGGCTCAGTGCCTGAATGCAAACTGCAAATTTCGTTCAGCTAGAACCAGTTGGCTAAACCTTCTCAATAATTCCAAAGCAAAAAAAGAGAGCAATTGACACATTCAGAGCACATCTCCTAAAGTGGAAAATAAATCAGGGCTCGTAATGGGTAGAAACACATCAGGACGTGTCACGCTTTCAATTTGAGTCCTTTCTAAACAAAATTCAGCACTGACAGCTTCGCTCATGGAAAAATAAAAACTTTGTGGTTTGGAGGGAAAGCCAATTGTCATAACGTTCCACAACTAAACTAATCAGTCGCAATGGATTGTATCACTGATGATTGCACTACTTAAAGCATTTTGAGATGTTTAGAGCATGCAAGCTCATCCAGAAACATGTCGTAGAAATAATGAAGTTATAACAGGCACAGGCAGCGCTAATGGTACCATTACAAAATTTTTCAGAAGAACAAAATTACTCTGTCTTACCTTGCAGAGGTTCCAGGTATGGGTCTCCCAGTGTCCACCAGCACACACCAGCAGTAACCAGTGGACTGGTGGCACTGGACCGGCTTGTAGAGGCCCTGCAGGCCACAGTCAGGGATGAAGATGGCTTCCCGCGGGTTCTGCCGAGCCTCATCTTGAGCGGTCTGCCTCTCCTGGTCACAAGAGGGAACTTTCTCTAAAACCATGAGAAACACACTCAATACACAGAAATAACTCATATCAGGTAGTATACTTCAAATACAGCTTACCATTCTTTCACTATTCTTTAACTCTTTCCCCGCCAGCATTTTTGATAATGTTCACAAAACGTTCATGGTTCCCAGAATATTTTGTTGTATGAATTTCTGAACATGCAATATGTCAAAAGAAAGAACAGAGCCTCTGGTTTTAAACAAAATAAATTCTAGCTTTATGCATTTTTTAAATCAACTCTTGAATATGGGCAAGTGTCATCAAATGTTTTTATTAAATTAAAACAAAAAGCTGAGAAAATCGTGTTTTTGTCAAAGACTGTGTCCGCTTCGGAATCAGATCGATGATCAAAACATAGATGGTGTAGATCAATTCCATTAACATCCCCAAAGCTTGCACAGTCCTAAACCACTTTCTGGGTTGACATTTAATGCAGTAATGTTAGGCAGTTTTGACTTATATTCTGTTTAATGTTCAGTGATGATCACTTTATTTTACGTATGCATCTGCTTACATACGTGACTACTTGTTTCTGCCTCTTCGCATTGTTTTGATCTGGGGATTCAAAACTCATAAGATGTGCCTCCTGCAGTATAATAGTGAAAATTATGTCAATGGCGGGGCAATAACAGTTTTTAAATCTATAGTCCATCAATATTAAGCAAGTACAAGGTACCACAGTCACTAAGCAAAAACAGAGACACCACATGGAAACTTTCCAATTATGAGAGGAATAGCATGAGACATGGCAACTGTCAAAATCAATGTAATTCCAGTCTTTCTGTTAGAGATATCAACAGATAAAACTTGTAAGAATAGTCATGTACCTTTCTGGCATCCTTTTGTGATTGCCCCTAGTGGTCAATATTGGCAACATCCTTTTAGCTGCAATAAAACTCACCAAATTTGTTAAAATTAACAGAGGCACAATTGACTTAAACACTTTCAAGAGACATCTTCCCTTTTCTGAAGTTCTCTGAGCCATTAGGATTCAATTTGCCTGTATTTATTAACACAAAGGACACTTGAGAGATGTTCTTTTAAATGCTTTAACGCCTTGTCTCATAAATCTCTATTTATGCTGAAATCCATTTAGTACGTTGCTCACTTGTAGTGCACTGTGCCAAGTATAACAGCACCACATGTTGAGGCTAATCCAGCTAGCGGGGTGCTGAAGAGCTTTTTAGCACTACTGATTCGTGTCATTTTTAATCAGATGTTTAGTGAATATCGTGCTGCAAGAACATTCATCAGAACTGCCGTTCCCCTCGGCACAACAGCTTGGGACACTCAAGTTGTTAATTATTAGATTGCACAGATGCATAAGCTATACAAAAAAGTATCTTTTCTTTCTTCTTCCTCAATTTGATGTCTTATATTTGTAATGTTAAAAAAGGGCTGTGAATTGAATAAAAATATAACCAATTCAATTAAGTTACACAGAGAATCCCCAAATAAATGTTGACTCAACATTGACGCATTTTTACTTAAAAAAAATAAAAGATATATATGACAAGTATTTTTTCTAATAAAGTGAGTAATTATAACCATTTGACAAGTTATTTTTTTTAACCATTTAATAAAACAAATTTGTAAATTACCAGATTACATTTTCTGATTATCATTAGTTAACAACTGTTATAGAACATAGTGTTAAAAAAGGCAACTTTTCAATATAAGACTAACCTATGCTCATTGGAAATACATACCTCTACCTACATTTTTTCAAAACTCCAAAACCGTACCTTTACAACAATTCTAAAACATTTTTAATACATTATACATTAAAAAAAAATTAATACATTAATGTTATGCATCACATAACCAGCTCCATACACCATGTATAGCTATTCTTACATAGTAAACTTGCTCAGTAGATCACTGTGTACAACAACAGCTTTTGTATCCCACGTAAGGTTGCAAAGGGGTGGAACATTTCCAGTATATTTCCGGAAACTTTCCAAAAATCCCTGGAATATTCCAAAACAATCCTGGAAAGTTTCCAAAATTTCTGGAATATTTCCGAAATTTACTGGAAATGTTCCACTTTTTTGCAACCCTAATCCCACGTTTGCTTTCGTTACCACTATTGTTTAGGTTTAGGGTAAGGTTTAGTGTAGGTGGTACTTTTTTTCAAATGTAATAGAGCATTTACATTTTAGGGACACTCACTGGACATTTCATTCTCAAACTACCGCAATACATAACAACAACTGATGCAATAAAATGTAGCCTGATCCACATTCATCTGTTTCAGATAAAACTGAATGTGCTTTAACGTCACTCACAGGACATTTCACTTTAAAAGTGTCACAAAATGTGCAAAAAAGCGTAATACCATTCTGCAGAAATGTTGCCACAAGCACATATTTCCAATGATTCTGGACTGGAAATAACAATCTTCACATAAATAGGAAGTGAAAAATGGATCCTTCATCAAATGTGTTATTTTTAATGCATTAAACAGTCCATATTAATTGATTATGTACTGAGATTGGACAAGGTCTAGAGAGTAAGATAATTAAGTCAGGGTTCGTCTGAACCTCAAAATGAAAACCATGAGCTACAACCCTGTTCAGTGTAACCAAATCCTGCTGTTTTTGCTTTTGTCTTCATTATAAATAGTTCTGGTAAGAGGACTGACAGCGTTGGCGTGATCGGGAACAAGGCTTGGGGTGTTTTAAGTGGAACCTGACTGCAAAGACAAGGAACGGGGGAGAGTTAGCCATCAGAGTATAAATATGTCCTCTTTTTCAGAGATGGGCTCACAATCCGCACTCAAGTGTTCACGGCAGAGTCCATGACTCCTGCGCTTCCCGCCAAGGTTCCTTCATATCTAAATTATTTAGCACTGTTTATTGTAGCGAGGGTATACTGGCGCCAAGCAGCTGGGATTCCCAAAAGAAAATTGTTTTTTACTCTCTCTCTCTCGCCCTAATACAATAAAACTGGACAGAAAAGGATGGACAGTCTCAGATCCCATTTAATCCTATTTACGTCACGTTTTTGTCATGCATTCATTTTTGTTTTTTAAATCTGCACGTAAAACTTAATCTGACCCTCCTCTCTTTTCGGAATACAGTCATTTTTATGCATTCTGTCCCTTGTTGTTCCAAGAAGTGAGTTGCATGAGTTCTGTTTAAACAAACAGACATAAGTGAGAGTACAGCCGAGGTGAGACCTCATTGCTCATTGTTCGTCAGAATGCTTTGCTGTGGTTCCCTCTGTGTTTACAGGCTGGTATTGATTAGTTTATGCGTGGTATGTTGTAGGTAAACTCTGCTGATTTCCTCACTATCACGCTGAAAATCAGAGCCTCATGCCTTTCATCGTGCCAAGATCTGGCCAAACAAAATAGCTTGAAACTCAAACTTATCAGCCTCCTATAAACACAGCATTCTCTCTTGCTCTCTTGCTTTATCCTTTAGATGCATATATCTCACTCTCTCTTTCTAGCCCTCTTTCTTTTGCTGTCCCTCCAATTGTTTTCAGCTGTGAGGTAAGTAATCACTTCATTCTTGGATCTATGCATTCAGTGCTTATAAAGTAACAGAAGAGGGTATGCTGGGCCAGAAGAGGAGGGGTGGGCACCATGTTCTTTTCAAAATGTAATATGCTACACAGAGGGTATAGAACGTTTTATAGACACTAGTGTCAAACATTTCCTCATCCTTAGAAGTATTCTAACTTCTTCACTTTTAATTACGTCATGTGAATTGGTCAGTAGTGGGTTTTGATGTATATCAAGAAACACAATGTGTTGTTTCTCCAATGATGCTTAATCATTTAAGAACTTCCTGGGCATGTGACGCGCATTGGTTATTTGCCATATAGCAGATGCTTTTATCCAAAGTGACTTACCATATTGGGTCATTCTGAGAAAACCATTTGTGCCTCATTTGTGTGCCCTTGACTTACTACTTACATAATTAGTAGGATACAGAACTTGGTCATATCCACCTTCTTTTACAATGTGGAGGTAAACAGTTTTGTACAGATACAAATAACAAAGCGAATGACACCGGAAGCCTCGCACGTTCAAAAGGATGCACCCACCCTTACATTAAAAATAAGGTGGATAGTTAAGACTTTTAGATGCATACAACATAATCCATATAGATGGATTTAACTACGTAGAAAATGCTAATAAAGATTATTTTTTTTTAAATATTAGCCATGTCCCCATTAATCATCATTACATTTTATAGAATAGTAATAATATAGGTTTCTTATACAGTAAGAGAAATAGCATTTCATTATAATAATTTTGTATTTTTTTAATAGCAGATTGCACTGGAAATGGTTGATACTACCAGAATTCCAGTTATTTATTCAAATAATAAGTAAATCCACACTGTGACTATCAGTAACAATGCATAAGGATTACAGTAGGAGTATTAGTTTGAGGGCCTAAAAGGTGTCTGTGACCCTAAAATTCTGCGTGAGGTTGGAAAATGTGATTTTATTTATTTGTTTATTTAGAAGTTAATGGTGATCTTTTTAAATTATGTGATTAAAAAACAAATCTCTTCAGTTCAATAATTTTTAGGCACAAAGAGCGATGTTTGTGGAAAAAAGTCCACTTTTCGGTAAAGTCACCCTGGGGTTAAAAGCCTTTTTTAAGAGTCCCGTGGTGTCTCTGTAACTCTACAGATCTGTTTTTGCCAAGTGTTATCTGCATTTGAAGGCACAGAGACATTTGTATACAGTAGCTAGTTCAAACCACCCCCAGATCTGAGGGGACACTATGATAATCATGCTTGATCTGTTTAAATGGAGACCACAACCACAATTACTGTAGAAGCACACCATTTACCTCACCTTAGATGAGCACGTTCACATTTATAACTGCACGAGTTGATGTGTGAAAGACCTAACTGATGCGTACCACCCACAATGCACTGAGAGATGGAAACTTGGCTTTCTCCAAGATTTACTTTAGCAGCAAAAGCAACATCTCAGTGTTTCAATTTACTCCAGATCCCACACACGGTCCCAAGAGCAGCAGAGGTGGAGCCTGATGCCAACTCCGTCACTTCTGCACCAAAAGCACCTTTGTGATGACCGTGGATCTGCTATTCTTGTTGAAGAGTGTTGATGTGCAACAGATGCTAATTGGTCACAGGAGGGGACTCTGAAGCATTCTAAAGACTTGTCAGAGTAGATATACAACATGTCTGCTCAAGGTAAGCGTTTCCTTCAACACAGAAAATCTTTTGTCAAAATTTTGTCTTTTTTTTCTGGTGGAATAAATAGATTATTTTTCAATGTCTACCAATTACAGGCCACACAGGCAATAAGTACACAAAGGAATACCACTGGAACTGCATATACACACTACACACACACACATTTCTCTGCCCTCAGTCATGAAATGTGCTCTCTTCCTGGGTTTCAAAAATTCAGATCCCTCTACCTCTCAACCGCATTGCCCAAAAACCTCACAGAGCTTGACGGAGTTGACTGAGCATGCCCAGAGGGTGCTCGACTCATTTGAAGGAAATTGTAAAGGAGACACAGAAAGCTAAACAAATTACACAGAGGAGAGTTGAGACAAACAGAGAAAGAGGGGCGCCTTAATTCTACTGGTGTTATGTTTCTCGTCCCTGGACATGCTGAATATTAAATCTAAAACTGGAACAGAACTGTTGCACAATCAAGTGTGCCTGAACGCACAGACTTGGATGCTGCAATGGCGATGCTTTGAAATATTTCTGTAGTGTTATGTAAGTACATAGAGCTCAATTTGAATTGAGCAGACTTGTATGTGTCAACAAAGCTCTGCTCGAAAATATGTTTCTGGTCATTGCTGCTCTACGAAAGAAATAGACTTAAGTAATCTTCTTTCCATTTGTAAGTATAATAACTCAAATCAGCTGTAGACAGGCATGTCTGTTGTGAGACAACTGAATTTGATATATCAGAATATCAGATTTACAAATGGACGTTAACCATAGATAGACAGACAGATAGATAGATAGAGATTCTCACCTGACTTCCTACTGTTTGAACTGTTCTGTTTGTTCTCTTTGTACACCAGCTGCTTAATCCACAACGTCGGAGCTGTAATCTCTGTTTAAAATACAACATAAAATTGATTTGCACTTGTACATCAGTAATATCCATAAATGCAATACTCGCATTTTGTTTTCGTGTTGCCTGTGTTGCTTATTTTTGCATGGGGTCCAAACTTACCCTCACCTTCTGGGACAACATGCGTCTCCATGGTTGGTGTGGGCTTGGAGCCATCATCTGGATTGAGGGTGAGAAAGAAACGGAAAGAGACTACCATTATTGAGGTTAATACAATCTACTCTCCACAACTGTTGAATGATTGGGATTTGCACATGGCCCGGCCAATAGCACAGAAAACAAAGTGGGTGAGGGATAGAAGATACAAAGTGAGAAAATAAAAGTGAGAAAACACAGATAAATAACAGTGTTCATCCACTCAGTAACACACACACCAGAATGCATAAATTAGCTTTCATATTCATACTGTTTAGATAAATGGTAATTCAATTGTATAAAAAGCCAATAGTAAATGATTTAACACACTCAAAGTTGTCAGGATAATTGAGAAATGTCAAACGTCCTACAGTACTTACCCACTTATGTTCTATTGCATTCTGGCTGATTTCCTTGTGGCTCACAGCATTGTAGGCCCTGGTAGTTGAGGGGCTAAAGCCACAGTGCTAAAGCCACAATAAGGTGGCAGTGAAACCAGTTCATAGAATACACGTAGTTCACTGAATTGAATTACAGTCAATGTGACAATACTTTTTCCCTGTCCACCGTTTACATTTGAAATCAATGTTTATTATATATGTTCTGAAGTAGCAGTAATATCTCTGTTAAAAGCTATTTTTAAAGACATTTTCACATCCAAGTCAAAGAATTTGTTCTGTCATTAAGAGCAACACTGACAGCCACTCAATCATTTCTTTAAAATAATTGTACACCTTAAATCAAACCAACCAATTTAAAGATTAATTTAAACATAACATTTGATTCAAAGTAATTAAAAAATTATGATGAATTCCCTCATCCTTTGTGAATTTAGAATTGCACATGTTAAATCATTACTGTGTTTTAGGCTTTAGAGCACGGGTCACCAGACTCAGTCCTGGAGGACCGGTGTTCTAACAAATAATGCTACCTACCAGATTATGCTACCAACACTGTATTTTTAATACTGTAAGAGTAGATTTAGGGTTGGGGTAGGTGTACATTTTAATAAAGCCTCACACCACATTAATATCATGTTGGAAGCAAAATCTGATAGGTAGCATTTTTTTGCTGTCAAATTATGCTACCATCTGTTTTAATGGGAGGTAGCAAAATCTGACAGAGTAGCACAAATCATCAGAACACCGGTTCTCTGCAGAGTTTAACTCCAACTAACCTCAATACACCTGCCTGGAAGATTCAAGTATACCTAGCAAGACCTTGATTAGCTAGTTCAGGTGTGTTTGATTAGGGTTGGAGCTAAACTCTGCAGATCACTGGCTCTACCAAGTTTGGTGACACTTGCAGGGGTGTCAATCTCAATTCCAGGAGGGCCGGAGCCCTGCAGAGTTTTGTTCCAACCCTGCTCCAACGCACACGTATTTTTTAAATAAGCCTGAAGGACTTGATTATTTGGATCAGGTGTGTTTAATTAGGGCTGAATCTAAACTCTGGCTTTGTCCAAATACCCACACTTGCAGTCTTTGCACTTGACCACTTGATTACTTAAATTATGTATTTCCTGTATTTGGCCGAGGTCTTCAAGTGGATGTGAACACCAAAAGTGTGTAGAACTTTTCATTACCTGATGGGACACACTTATAGTATAGCATTTGTAAAAATGCAAGTGTTTACACAGCTTTATTTTAATTTTAATTTGACATACTTTGCATTTTAAAATCAACTTCTAAATGTCAGTCCAGTAGTCCCTATAACATGACATAATTTTAATTTGTGGTGCTTCTAATTAAATGATAAAAAGCAGTTGCAAATGTTGTACAAAATAAATATCACCACAACTCATCTTTGCACCAATAAAAGTAAAAACACAGTTTTTCTACCAAATTATTTGTAATATCTAATTATTACATTAATATTTAACTTAAATTGGAAAGGTTTCCGTGACCTCTCGGGAGTTATTTCCAGAACATGATGCATGATGGGATACACTTAGCCTTGAATAGCGCTCTGGAGTGGTATTCGAGATAGTGTGGATTTAGTATCCATTAAGGGCACTGCACTTTGGCATTTTGAAGACATGGGACAGACTTGCACACTTACGTCCTGTCGCGCGCACACGCTCTCAAGTGGCCAAGACTGCAAGTGTGGGTATTTGGACAAGGGGTCCGGCCCTCCAAGAATTGAGTTTGACACCCCTGCTTTAGAGGATAGTTCAAACACTGAGAAATGTTTCAAAATATGTTATTTTGCATTCTGCAGTGAATAAGAAATTCATGCAGGTTTGGAAAAACATGAGGGTAAATAAATCATTATATAATTTTTTATATATATGAATGTATTTAGCTAGCTAACAAGTAACCTAGCTAGCCTCCATTTGCCTGTAAAAAAAAAGAAATCTTAATCTTACAATGAGTTCACAGTCAGTTGTTTACAGACAATCTAGACTAACTAACTACATGTGATGTTGTAGCTTTAAAGCCTAAAATACTACAATGATAAGATTCTTTACCTTTTAACAACCTCACAACTCATTGCAGGTATTTCTCAAAAGGTTTATAGTCCTGTCATGACAACTCTATGAGAGTTTAGCATGGTAATATACATGGCAAAGTTAATGAGTTTGGTCTTGGTGGAATAGATCTGCTACGCGGCTGCTGCTACGGCAGAACAAGTACGGAGACTTGCTACTACCAATACATTCACAGACATGCTGCTGTGAACATGTAAGAAATACTGCTGCTGCACATGTAACATCCATAAAATAACCCCCATTTATAACATACATTAAATCACCCCATTGCAGATCTATACAGGAGGAGCTGGGGAAGGTGGAGGGTTTCTGAAGTACGCTGCAACTACTACAGCAAGCACTATAGCCAAGTATTTGAATGTTGAGCAGCAAGCTCATTGGCTGCTGATACTAAAAGAACCAATCAGCTGCACTGTGTGAATAATTATGTGATTATCTCAGATTGAGTTAGACCTATGGGCCTGCGCCACCTAGTTTCATGACAGAACTTTGTATTTATTGCTAAAAATCAATTATGCTATCAAAAGTGTGAATGGCATTTATAATCCTATATCCTACAGTGAATTTTAGAGACTCACATACAGTGGCACACAACCACCGTCCACCCGCCGGTCACATAAACATCTGTTGCACATGCACTTTGTCTTGAGTGCAGCCCAGTGCAGAAGAGGTGACACAAGATCTGAAAAGAACACAGGCAAACTCCATACCAAAACCCTATCTCACATTCCCAACACAACCTTCTCCCACCCCTGCGATACTAACCTGAACGTACTCCCAAACCCCTATACAACACCCTCGGGGCCTGTAAATGACATTCTGGCTTTCCTGAGTTAGGGCCCACAAAAGTAGGTGCCTGCCATTGCTGCTGTTAACATCTATATTAGCTGTTTGAGATTTCACTGCTGTAACAGAGACTGGTAGGGCTTTGGCAAAGCCCAGACTTTGATGTGTGCTAAGTTCTTACACTGGCTGTTAAACGGAACAACTGGAATAGGTTTTCATCCTTTACGGTCCTTAGAGAAACTTAAGTCTGAAGTAAAAGCTTGACAGAAAGTTGAGTCAGACCAATGAACATGTCAGAGAAATACGAGGCACCAGTTGACGCCTTTTTGAATGTGTGGACACATTTAATCTTCCATAAATAAAATGAGGCAAGAAACGCAACATTTAGTAATAGTGCAATTTAGTGTCCTGGTTTGTTAGCTTTCAATATCTCTCATACATAAGCACACACACTCACATTTCTGCGAAATTCAACTCACCTTTTCTGCCAGAGCTAGGAGGTCCTGGTGGCTTATCGGTTCCTTTGAAGAGAGAGCGGAATGTTTACTCAACTTTAGCAATGCATTAGAGTAACCATTTCACTTTGGGACAACAGGTTAAAATATGTACAACTTGCACTTGTAGGAACACAGCATGCACTAGAAAAGTCATTCAAAAGATTACAAAATGCAAGTGATAATTGTAACAACGTACACATATAAGAGAAACAGGAATCAGTTCAAGAAAAACAAATAAAAGACCCTCCAAAAATCCAACAGACCACTCTGAAACCACATTTTCACTGCTGAAAATGTTGAAATGTTATTATCTAGAAATTAAGCTTCCTGTAATGTCAACCCCATGTTATTCCAGGTATATACACACACACACACACACATACATGGAAAAATGGTGTGCAATGCTACATATTTTATTTAGGTAGTGAAAATCACCACAAAAATGGTTACAATTATTTACATCCTTTATTCTTATCTCATTATTATTATGAATTATATTATTATTAATTACTGTTATTGTTATTGGCAATAGTACTGTAGACACACCTTCCTGCAGAATATAGCTCCAACCTTGTTCTAACAGACCAGTCTTTAAGCAATTGTTTTGAGCATTTCTGTTGTACTTGTACTACAATATGGTTTTCATGATTTCATGATGAGTCCCCTGTGTAGACATCAGTGTAGATATTTATGATTAGCTTGTTGTGTTTGATTTGTGTTGAAACAAATTTCTGCAGCAAGACATATCTCCAGGATTGAGTATCCATGAATAAAACACACTTTAGTGTGACACAGAAAATATAAAATGCATTGAGGAGGGGGTAGTTATGTACAAACAATCACATTGATTCAAGTACGTGCAAATGCTCAGGATTAAGGGCATGCATAAATTCAAGATTAGACAGTCGAACCAATTAAAATGCTGGAGAGAAAGAGAACTTTGAACAAAAGGGCTATTTGGAATGAAATGTACTACCTGACAATCCACTTGTCCCAGCATGAGTTCCCATAAATTCACGGAAGTTTCCTGCAAACGTGTGCAAGACATTTCACTTAAGTGGTGATTCATGGGATTCACTCATTTCTGGGACAGGACTGGTCCATCTTTTGAACATTCATGAGATGTAGATCACTGAGCCAAGGTTGAAGCCAAATAACTAATTTGGGTGTGATGTTATTGCAAAACACCACTGGTTGACACTTCAATATAAATCTTTTACTTTTTAATGAAACAATATTAAAATTGCAAAGCAGAATCTTACGCAGGACAACAAGCAGCAGGGAGAAAATCTAGGAACATATTAAACAAGTATTAGACAGTAAACAACTTAAAGTTGATAAAGTTTAGATATTTAAATACTTTCCAACTAAAATGCGCAGAGACAACTATACTGTAAGCCTTTCATTAATTGACACACTCAAGATGGAAATATAACATACTCCACAGTGCACTGTACAATCTGCTAATTTTGAAAACTAGTATGTTTAACAATGCTAAACCATTTCTTTTGGGGAAATTTTGGTTATATACCTGAAATAAGGTCTGTGGTGAACACAAGCTCAGGATATCTTCACAATTTATTCTATGGCAAAATACACGAGTACCCTATGTAATTTAAAGATTGTACTTGTTTTGGTTGCTGAAAGTGGTTGCTAACAAGTGGCTAAATGGGAATGCAGGGACATTAAAGGGTTCGTTCACCCAAAAATGAAAATTCTGTCATTAATTACTCACACTCATGTCGTTCCAAACCTGTTAGACCTTCGTTCATCTTCAGAACACAAATTACAATATTTTTGATTAAAGCTTTCTGACCCTACATAGGCAGCAACACAACTACCACGTTCAAGGCCCAGAAAGGTAGTAAGGAAATCATTAAAATATCCCATGTGACATCAGTGGTTCAACCGTAATTTTATGAAGCTACGATAATACTTTTTGTGTGTAAAAACTCTCTGCTTCACATTCATGACAGTACCATGATGAGGAATGCATGCGTCGAAGACTGACATAGAAGAGAAGAAATTGTTGAATAAATTTGTTATTTTTGTTTTCTTTGAACATAAAAAAGTATTCTCGTAGCTTCATAAAATTGTGGTTGAACCACTGATGTCACATGGACTGTTTTAACGATGTCCTTACTACCTTTCTGAGCCTTGAATGTGGTGGTTGTGTTGCTGTCTATGTAGGGTCAGAAAGCTCTCAGATTTCATCAAAAATATCTTAATTTGTGTTCTGAAGATGAACGAAGGTCTTCAGAATTTTCATTTTTGGGTGAACTATCACTTTAAACATCATCAAGCTGAACAGATAAACTCATCTACTCACTTTTTCAATGTTTAAAACTGCATTCTTGCAAACTATTCTAACTTAAGCTTTCAGGAAAGACTGGAAGAGTTGTCAAAAATTCTCCAATGGGAAAATATAATTGGGTTTTTGGAGGGAACCAGGTTGAGGCTAACTTTGGGTTGGCTTACAAAAATGCATAAACACTGCAGCACTCTATTACTTCCAGTTTATTTCTCACAAAGGAAATGGAAGGTAAAGTTGGGTGCATTGCAGTGTTGGATGTTACACTGTATTTTGGCAAGTGTAGTAGTAATCAATTTTTCTATTCATGAAGATATTAAAGTTATAGTGTACTGTGCCCACTGCATACTACAGAAAAAGTAGTATGATAGCATGTTATTCTAATCAAAGCCTGTGACTCTGTGTTGCTAGCAACACATTGCTCTTCATTTGAGTGGCCCAATATAATGACACTGACTTAAATAACAGCATGGTTTGGAGGCAGGACTTCCTGTCTATCCATACAATAGAATGTTTGGGAAATCTCTTTGGAAACCTGCTTAGTAATTACATTTTACTATTCTGTTGGGTGCCACTAGTGGTGCAGAAATGGTAAAAAAATATATAAAGATCCCAAGGAGAAAATATATTTTTATAATGGTAATAATAAACATTTTAAAATAAAATAATTAATTATATGGAACAGGCAAAAATGACAAAAATCACAGGTGTCTCTGCAGTTAGCTACAGATGAACTCAACTGAAAAGTGACAGCTGGACGGGCCATCCAGAAAGCTAGGTGAAATGTAGCATCAAAGTTAGGTAAGCACAAGATGGCATGTAATCATAAAATGTCAAGACACACAAGAGGGAAAAAAGAACCACAACCAGGTGCTCCAATCATAATGTAATCCAGTTCTGGCAGGAGATGGTGGTGTTATCTCCAACAGAACAATCATGGCCATTAGCGGAAAGTGTTCCCATTCATTTACAAAGAGAAAAGCTCCCTCATTCCAACCCTCCACTGAAAGCAGTTATACAATGAAGAGAGAATGAGAAAGCAATGATGGAGAAGAAGGAAAAAATGGTTGAGAATGAAACAGATGAAGACAGAGACTGATTGAGTGTGAATTTGGAAAGAGACAGAAAGAGAGAAAAGCAGAAATGCAGAACCCGTAAGGTAAAGAGAAAAATGGATGAACTTTCGGAGTCAGCCTAAGTCCTCCAGGATATTATCCATCACCTCTTGGTTCCATGCACAAACACAGTAGAAGTAAACTAAACAGAGTGGTGGCTAGAGTTTAACATCACGCTGACTCCATCAAAACAAAGAGTACCATTTAAATCAAACAAAGTCTAATGGCTTTGAAAGTGATGGACTACAGGCACAACTTCTTGACTGAGGCACCTGATGGTTTAGCGGTTCTGCTTTTCAGCACGACCTAAACACAAAGCGATAATCCAAGCAAACAGTCTAGAGATACTATCTGCATACATACAGTACCTGAACACACTGGCGTTTTGTTCTGGACAGAAGAGCCGCTGACTGGCTTGCCATCTGTCGTCACGCACCAGCAGTATCCTGTGAGGGTGTGACATTGGACCTGGAGGAGATACAGACGGATAGAGGTGAGAGGAAATTCCAGTAACCGCTCTTGTATCTCCTGGACGACCCACACAAAACGTCCTGGCGCTTGCGCTGGGAGAATACAATTATTCAGAGTGAAAAATGGCTCTCATAAACGATGAGGCATTAAAAGCTTAGGCGGACTGGATGATCGCTGTTTAACAAAGTAAGGCGCAGGTGAAATAGAGGCTGCGAGTCTATAAATGCGATTTAATGTACACTTTCCATTCAAATTCCCTATACGGCCGTACTGATGAGAAACACAGGGAAGTGCAATTTTTTGGGAGTCTGGGGAAGATATTGGAAGGCTAATTTGTTCACTAGGTAGGTTTGCTTTAGGATTTGTCGATGTCAGAAACAACACATAAAGTGCAGCGGTCTGGAACTCTGACAGACCTGGGCAAATGTTCCATCGTCATTGCATTCTGGGATAAAAATTGATTCCTGTGGCCTCTTGGCCTGTTCCAGAGCCTGAATCCTCTCAGTCCGGCATTTCGTCTGGCCTGCTTCTGCAATATAGATACAAATATGTCTAATTACACACACTTGACATTCACAACGTTCACAATATTTGGTATAATACGGACACTTTTAGTACATGAGGCTAGGGAATGTCATGGATTTGATTCTGAGAGAACTTTTAGTAAAATACACCTTGAGGGGGGGGTCTAGGAAATGCATAAATTGAATTATACATAAGGGCAAATCATGGGAAAATTCACATACAATAAGACACCAAACATACTCTCACACTTTTCCCATACTTTTTAACCAATGAACTCCATTGACCTTTCCAGTCGCTCATGATTACCTATTACAGGATAGGTATTTTGAATGGTCTTCAAAAAATCATTTTACAGAAATTTGACTCACAAATACCAACTATATTTTAGATCTGAACAACTAGAAAAAGTCAATGGAAATTACCATGCCATTTCCATGACCTTTTTAAAGATATTATTAATGTAAGTGAGTATTCCAGACTTGAAAATCACCATTTTAAAATAGCTTGATATTTCCATGACCGCGGAAATCCTGAAAATAATTAACATAAGCATTACTGAAGATAGGATTATTGGAAAATTCAACGCATTAAACAGCCTTCGAAAGAAACCTCATCACTTGCGGTAAGAAATGCATCATGAAGATTCTTAATCTTGAAACTTCTAAGGATGGAAAATATGAAGTTTGAAATGTCAAAGCTGAGTGTCGTGTTCCAGCATGTAAGCACTTGGTCATTTTGTATGAAAACTAAAGTATTTAGTCATTCTAAGACAAATAAACAACGCTTACAAGTTTGACCTCAGTGCTGGGCTGCACCCAAGATGTGGGGAGGCTAAAAACCACGTAATCATTTTCACACTTTTGTCTTTTATGCTATTCACAGTTAAGTCCTCAAATGCATAGACTTATAAAATATATATATACTTCCAATATACTTTCAAATACACATAAGGATATTAACTCAGACAGACGTAAGCATATTAAGCACACAAAGAGACAAATTGCAAATCTGCCCTGCATGTCTGAAAGCAGATGCGCTCAAATCATCCATGATGCAGAAATGAGAAACACCTGTTGAATCTGTAAAGACTGTGACCGATTGGCTGAGAGAGGCAGGTGACCTTTTTACTGTTTTTTTTTCTAGTGTAGAATATGTAGAAAAAGGCATCCAGACATTTTTTTGTAGTATTTTACAAATCAGTAATTTACTTTTTTATCCCAAATTAAAAATCAACACTTTACTGCCAAATGTAAAATTTTTAGGGAACAAAATATGCATTAATTTTGATAATTGGCCAACTTTGTTAGTCTGCAGCCCCAAGAAGCCTGACTTTCATTTTTATTTTCAACTCGGTTTTGCTAAAGAGGTTTTTGGTTTGTATATAAACTTTACATTCACTAAATAATAATGCTTTAACCAAAGCTTCTCTTCAGCTGTATGCAACCTGAATTATTTAAAAACACTGACAACAATGATCATTCCTGATCCTTAGCCTTCCCCTGGCCACGGATCAGAAATTAACAGGGGCTTGGGAGTAAAATGCCCCTGCACAATTAAACAATATACATTATGGCTGTCGCGAATAAAATGAAAATGAAATGAAAAGTGTCGATTGCAGCAATTAATTTACATCTGCTCGTTGCATCATATTTCTTTTTAAAAGTTTTTTACAATGTTGCGCATTATAACCAATCACACAATATTCTGTTGACTTTATGAATGCAGTGGCCAATCAGAGGCATTCAGATTGGTCATCACTGTAACGCTGAAGTTTTGTTCAGTCAGTGTGAGCACTCACTGACTCAATTCTACACTCTTGCATATTCTCTCATCATTAACAACAATGTGCAGACGTACATATGATGTGGTAAGAGATACATTTCACAGTGTAGGAAGCTTCATTGATTATAACAGGAGATTTTATTTTGAGAATGCTTAAACTTGCGCTAGACTGAAGTCAGTAATGTTCTTTGCTTGTGTTCTTTATATACTTTTTTTCAGTGTTTGAATAACCGTTGAAATTAAAGTGTAAAAACTAATAACCTAAAATGTTTTTTTATTTTTTAATTAATTAAACTGTATTCAAGTTAAAGGGATAGTTTACCCAAAAATGTAAATTCTGTCAATAATTGACAGTTTGCTAAGGTGGGTTTTTGTGAAAGGAGAATTACTCACCCTCATGCCGTTTCAAAGCCGTAATACCTTTGTTCATCTTTGAAACACAAATTAAGATATTTTTGATGAAATCTGAGAGCTTTCTGACCTTACATAAACAGCAACACAACTACCACGTTCAAGGCCCAGAAAGGTAGTAAGGACATCATTAAAATAGTCCATGTGACATCAGTGGTTCAACTTTAATTTAATGAAGCTACAAGAATACTTTTTGTGCGCACATTTTTTTTTCTAAAATAAAATAAATTAATAAAAAAATAAATAATGACTTTATTCAACCATTTCTTCTCTTCCATGTCAGTCTTTGACATGTGTCCATGAGAGTACCACAATGTATTTAATGACATAATGTTCATTTTTGGGTGAACTATTTCTTTAAATACAAATTCAGTCGTATTAAAAACATTTTACATGACACCCATATCTGGTGCTTGCCTAAAACACCGGGTTTATGATGTGTGTAGTTAATAGATTACACTAACAGTAAGCTACTTTTAGCCTTATCCTGGAGTTGGTTCACCCTCCGCCTATGATTCCTGGCACTTTTAACTGACCGTCTAACACAATCCAGCCTAAGAAATTGATGATGCAGGCTGACCTTGACTTAAAGCCAGTCAATCTGTCTTTGAGCATGTGAACACGGGCTGCAAAAACTTACATGCATACCAGTGGGCATATGCGCTTCCTTGGTAGTTTGCTCTAATGCTCCGGGGACTGGATATTCTCTTTAGACTGACACGCACACAGATGTGTTCTGCTGCCTTGATTTGAGATCGGCCACCAAAACTGCATCCCAATTCGAACAGAAAAAAAGGTGCGAAAAGAGAGGCCAAAAGTGACAGTGCAGTTTTAAACAAATGAAAAGTGTAAATAAAAACCTTTATACAAAGAAGTGAATAGTACTTTTTCAATAATGTTTAAAATCATGTACACTCACATGAGATGAAGACTCCAGTCGTATCAGTAGCCTTATAAAAGCTGTTTTATTTTACATGGAGCGGATCACCTCATGGGGGCAGACATATTGAAATCACATGACCAGATGAATACTAACCACTTTATTTTTTGTAAACCCCTGTTAAATGATGCCTTATTGCAAATGGGATGAGTTAATCACAGTTGAATGCATGCAAATTATTTACATAATTAGCACTATACAATGGCATTTGTGAAACTTTAGCATGATGCTACATTACTGTCATACAGTCTTAATCAGGCAGTTACTTTTTCCCATTTATTGACTGACAGCACTCCTGTCCCCATGTTGAGAGAAATCAGTAAAAGTAATGTAACACATTACTTTTCATAAACCGTAACTATAAGTAACGTAATAAGTTACTTTTTTAGAGAGTAACACAATATTGTAATGCACTACTTTTAAAAGTAACTCTCCCCACTGCTCATAAGTAAAATCATCAGTACTTGAGTGCACAATACAGAAATATACAAACTGTGAACCAGTCGCAGGGTGCAAAGTTGGAAGAATCTTGTGTGCACATGTAGGTTTTCATACATTTCATACCTGTCAGCTCTTTGACCTCTGAAACAAGTGTGGGCGCAGGAAGAGGCTGATCTGTCCTCATCCAGTTTTTACCTGAAATTGCAAAATAAATAAATACATACATACATACATACCACGTAACAACTACCCAAAGAACGGACAAGCCACGAGAGAGGAGTCATGAATGCCACAAAACTGATAATGTCACATGGCAATGCCAACATGGATTACATTAATACTACACACATTTATTCTACATAGAATGTCTGAAGAAGTTCTTTATCACATATAATACCCAGTCAAACAGTATGTGATTATGCATGAAGCAAAGTTTCTTTCAGGATTAGTTTTCTTGACAGGAAGGAAAATGAGGCTGTGAGGTATAGAGGTACATTGTGTTAAATGGACTGTACACTGCTTAAAGGGATAGTTCACCAAAACATTGCTCAAGTTGTTCCATTGCCTGAACTATCCCTTTAATGTCTGTGATAATTAAGGCTTGTTTTCATATAATATATATTTTTTTTCTTCCAGAAATTCTCACCCAACAATGTGTGATGTCCACTGACCTTTGCATCTGCCCCTGTTGGCCAGGGTGAGTGTGTGGTCCTTGCATTTCGCCCTCTCCAGGTCACAGTTGGTATCATAATTGCGTCCGTCTGACCCACACACAGGCTTGCCGTGACTCCTGGAGCACGGAGGGGAACATGGGCTCTCTCTGTCCCCTATAAGCCACTGCACACACACGTACACATATATGAAGTATATTTAAAGAGAGCACTGAGGGCATGACAGTATAATAAGCCACGGAGCACTTGACAGAATACCCTAACTAGACTCTAATGGGTGTGCAATAAATTAAAGAGAGCTGCTGAGCCGAGCTGCAGCTCAATGAGTTTCACAGGTTTTAGTAGCAGGAAGACTCAGATTGCTTAGTGCAATTTCCATGAATCATGAATCTGAAAATAGCTGAGCTCAAATACCATATAGCCATATATAGACTGTTTTGAGTTTTCAGAACAAAGACATTAGAATTAATAGAAGAGACAGGCAAATCTAAACATGTTATACAGACTAAAATTGTAATTGTGCAAATTCAAAATATGGGTAATTCCTATCTATCTATCTATCTATCTATCTATCTATCTATCTATCTATCTATCTAT